ACTGTATCTGTTACGTGAAACCCAAGGAGCCCTGGCTGAGTGAGCTGTCACCGAGAGAGAGGCCACACCAGGCGGGGTCCAGATGGGGATGCCCACCCAGGGGGATCCCATCACACTGGCCTGCCAAAATCAGACATGCATACAAGTAATTTTTGCTGATGATAAAACTGAATAGAACAGATTCACAGTTATTCCAAAACAGTGTTCTCTCCTAGTCACTTCCTGAAATGCTTTTTTGTGTAGTAGTAAGCAGCTGGCATTATAGATGGCACACCCATAATTGTGTCTAACTTTGAATATTTTTAAAGAGGTATATGTACCTACAGCTGTCATTGGTCATGCATGTTGCAGGAAACAAAGCAAAACACAACGTGATAGGCACTGGTCTCTTCTAAGGATCTATCAGTCCCCATCACTGTGCCACTTGACATTTATCTATAGCTTTGGCCCTCCCGCAGATTCAGGGCCCAATCCTGCCTCTAGCTGAAGGCTTTAAGGAGCCCTGTTTCAGTAGTTCAGGGGACAAAGTTAGGATATCCTGTGACTTGTCCTGCTCTGATCAAATGCCCTGGTTCTGGCCTCTGGGCTTTTGCCTTCAACCAGGCATCGAGTCCCTGTTCTAATTCCCTGTTGTATAGCCTGAGTTCTCCATTCCTCAGGCTTTAGCTCCTGCCTCCATAACCTGACCAGAACACTGGTCTCTTCAAAATCAGGACTCTAACTTGCTTACGTCTATTTTCTCCAGGTAACACCCCTGAAAGGCAGACCAAGCTGGGAGCTTGCTAACTGTCACTTGTCCTGTCTGTCCCACACTGCCCACACTGTCTAGGTCACTCCCACTGTTTCTCCCATTCCCCCACACCCACTTTCACCCCCACTTTCACCACTGCCAATAATTATATTTGCTCCACGTATGGGACACCTACCTTTTGCTACCTTCTAGGTCTTTCTAACACTGAATATCTCTCAATTATCATGTCACCTGTTACTCCTCTCAGGACCCATGTGGTCCTGCAGCTCTGCCTGTCTGGCAGACCTCCTCCACTGATTTCAGCCGGGCATCAATCACAAAGCCTTGCACACAGCAAGGTGACAGGGAGGCAGGGTGGCATGGTGGAATGAGCATGACATGAACATGGGCATCCCGAGCAGACCTGGGTTCAAATCCTTGCTCCTCCATTTGCACCTGTTCCCTAATGCCAGTAGGACTCAAAGGTACAAGGTATTGTTGAAAGAATTATATTATGAGATAATGTGCCTGTCAAAATATAGTAGTTATTTAATAAAATACCAAATTTAGCTTTTTTTTGGGGGGGGGCGGGGGCTGTACCGCACAGCATGTGGGATCTTAGTTCCCCGACCAGGCATCAAACCTGCATCCCCTGCATTGGAGGCGTGGAGTCTTCACCACTGGACCGCCAGGAAAGTCCCCACCAAATTTAGCATTTAATAAAACACATCTGTCTTTCTTTCTTGAACTTATATTTCTAACAGTTTTATTGAGATATCCACATATCATTCAACCCACTGATTTAAAGGATACAATTCAATGGTTTTTAGTATATTCACTGGACTTAGATTTCTTAAAATGTAATTATAGCATAAGGGATATGAGGATTAATAACAGTTAAAAGATATAGGATTTTAGTCAGCTATAATTTTATATAAATCAAGAGTGTGATGCCATTGCATTGCCAAAAAACTTATGCGATTTTGGGCTGTACAGATACACATGTGATGATAAGAACAAGATGGATAGTGGTTCCCTGTTATTCTGAGCAGGACATGTGTTCAGTCCTTGGGCCTAGTTTAAGAGGGATATGGGCAAATTGGAGCATGTCCAGAGAAACATGAAAAGGGTGATGAGAAACAGCAAATACTGTTTGTAGGAGCGTATGATATTCACCCTGGAGAAGTAAATCCAAAGAGGAAGTGAAACCCCACCCTCAATTAGCTCTGGGTTGTCATTTGGAAAATGAATGACATGTATTTTCTATGTTCTTTCGTTAGGCCAGAACCTCAATAAGTGAATTTAAGTTAAAAGCAAGCAGATTTTTTTCTTTTTAACATCTTCATTGGAGTATAATTGCTTTACAATGTTGTGTTAGTTTCTGCTGTATAACAAAGTGAATCAGCTATATGCATACATATATCCCCATATCCCCTTCCTCTGCGTCTCCCTCCCACCCTCCTTATCCCACCCCTCTAGGTGGTCGTAAAGCACCGAGCTAATCTCCATGTGCCATGCAGCTGCTTCCCACTAGCTATCTATTTTACATTTGGTAGTGTATATATGTCCATGCTACTCTGTCACTTCATCCCAGCTTACCCTTCCCCCTCCCCTTGTCCTCAAGTCCATTCTCTACATCTGTGTCTTTATTTCTGTCCTTCCCCTAGGTTCATAAGAACCATTTTTTTTTTAAGATTCCATATATATGTGTTAGCATACAGTATTTGTTTTTTCTCTTTCTGACTTACTTCACTCTGTATGACAGACTCTAGGTCCATCCGCCTCACTACGAACAACTCAATTTCATTTCTTTTTATGGCTAAGTAATATTCCATTGTATATATGTGCCACATCTTCTTTATCCATTCATCAGTCGACGGACACTTAGGTTGCTTCCATGTCCTGACTATTGTAAATAGAAGCAAGCAGATTTTGACATGATATAAAGGAACAATTAGAGCTGTCTAAAATTGGAGTGGATTGTCCCTTCCTAACCTGAAATTCTGTATTTAATATATTACCTCTTTAATAGCAAGTCAGAGAGCTACACCTTACAGAGCTTTGACTCTGTTATGTGTCAAGCTCAGGTGGGTAAAACGATCAAGTAGGTCACCCCTTGTTTACTTAAGGCCAATCATTCAGTTTGGGTGAGTCTAGTAGTCCCTTCTTCCTCCCATTTTTCATTCCCACTCTCTGCTTTTTGATCAGAGGAAAGAGAAAAGGAAGCCCCAAATCGTCAACATGGGTATTTTATTAGCACTTCTGATGATAATGGAAATATTTCTAAAATAAGACTTTGGCATTACCTGATCAGGATATTGTGCTCATCTCTTCCCTGCTCTATGTAAGGGACTTCATCTTAGCACTTGAAACTGGCCATGGTGGAAACATCTGCAGATACGGCAGATCACCTTCCCCCACTCCCCCAGCTCATCGACCAGTGCCCACTGCTTTAGCATCCACACCACCCAGTGATGACAGAGCTGGCACTGTTAATGATGATGACAGACCTTCTACTAGATTTTTGTACCATGTGTCTCTATAAGAAATACATTTATAAACAACGGTATTTAACTTTCATATAAGGGCAATTTGGAATTTAAGTAGTTTAGTGTAATTAACTAGTTTCAGATGAGTGGAATATTTAGGGGAAAGTATTTGGGAAAAACTGGACTCATTCTCAACTGTTTTCTAGACCACATCTCTTTTTTCTTTAAGGAAAACCCATAATAACCATGGTCTGTATATTTGAAGAGTCTATTATGCACAGCTACTTATGGAGTGACCATGTGACAGACTAGGAAGACATGTCCAAGATGAAGGCCCTCTGGAAGTGGGAAGATAAAGCTCTCTGCTGGCCAGTACTCTTTGTGCCACCTATTGGATTTTGAAAGAACAATCTCTCAGCTTTTGATTCAAAGGTAAGACTCCAGCAAGTATTTTTTGCAGATGGAACATATTCGTAATCTTCCTTAAGGCAGAACTATTGTAAAAACTTTGCATTGTACGCGTTGTTATGAGGGAAATCACCATCAGCCCAAGATTCCCAGGACCAACTGGTTTCTTTATCATCAACAAACTCCAGGAATTATAGTCGGCATTTATTGAGCACTCGCAGTATACTATGTACCTTACAAGCATTCTCTCATTTTATCTTCATATAACCTTATGTAAGGGGTATAAATATTTTCATTTTACAGATGGGGAAACAACTTCAAATGGTTAAGTGGCTATTAGAGTTAAAAAGTTTCTGTGCTCCTAGGAAACAGGATTTACATTGCCTACTGCTTTGTATATAGCAGACATTCCATAAATAGTTGAATGAGTTTTTTAATGTGAATAAATAGAGCACCATTCTTCTTAATACTTTGAGCCCTTTGACTTATTAGCCTTTTAAGCAGCTTTTATCTAATGGAAAATCAGAATGATTTTCATTTATTTTGCTTCTACATACATTCCAAAGGCAGAGCTCCCTGTAATATCTCATTAACCCTACAATGACATAGAATTATTTTCCCAATTTTAGAAACAAGTTAATGGAGGCTTAGCTGGAATTAGGTTGTCTTTTGATGTTTTCATCACACCAAGTCAAGGTAAAGACCAAAGGCATGCATTAAGAAGAACCTAGTTCCTACTGTATAACACAGGGAACTATATTCAATATTCAGTGATAAGCCATAATGGAAAAAATAGGAAAAAGAATGGATATATATGTATAACTGAATCGCTTTGCTGTACAGTAGAAATTAACACAACATCGTAAATCAACTATACTTCAATAAAATAAATTAAAAAAAAAAGAACCTAGTAAAGTTATGACAAGAAAAAAGGGTTCTAGATAAATCCGGAGGGAAACAGTCCTCAGAGAGTGACCACAAGTCAGTTCTGCTGAGTATGTCACTCAATGGACAGAGTTCTGTGCTTACTAAGCATTGTAGTAGGCATGGGGGAGATAAGACCAAATCCTGATTTTGAGAAGCCTATGGGCTTTTAGGGAAGAGAAGACAGAGACACATACACATAAGGAAAGTGAATTTGCAGTACGAGAGACTAAAAAGGAAAAGCAGACAAGACAGCGGTGCTCATTGAGAAACGATTAACGCAGGCAATAAGCATTGCAGGAGCTCAGAAAAGGGAGCGATTGATTATATTTGCATAAATTTACGCTGACCTCAGCATCTTCACTCTGAGCTGTGGGCAGACAATGATGTTTGAGAGAGCACCTGGCTTCCAAGGAGCTCACTTTCTTCCCTGGAGACTTGAGCAGATCATGAGAGGGTTTGCAGGAAGTAGCCAGAGAGATGAGAAGACCAGAGACCTGATGATCAAGACCAGCAAGATGGTGCTGGGACAGCTCACATGGCTACTGAGCCTGGATGTTCTAAATTATTAATTAATGATGTTTCTCTCTCTGTATTTTTCCCTCTTTCTACCTTTAAGCAAAAGTAGCCTGGAGTTCTTCCTGGACTTTGCTTTTGAAATTTTTAAGCCCTCCAGAGAACTCTCAACCTTGGCTCCTCTTGGAATCACCTGGGGAGTTTTTAAAACACTGCCACCTGGGTCCCACCCCCAAATACTCTAATTGACCTAGGGTGCTCCTTTGGTGATTCTAATGAGCAATCAAGTTTGAGTATCATGGACTTAAAGGGTTCCTTGACATGATAAGAGAGAATGAAATTTGCTAGAGTGAACAAAGTATCTTGGAGAAACAGGAGAGGTGGGGAACTTCCCTGCTCCAATCTAGAGAAATAGCCTTGATTTGCTACCCTGGAGTAGTAGGAATCTGGGTCAGGCTTCCCCACAGCCCCATGGGGGAGGGAGGAAGACTCCAGAGAGAGTGGCTGTGTGGTGGCCAGGGCTTCTCACACTGGGATATACACACAGATCACAGGGGATCTTGTTAAAATCTGGGTTCTGACTCAGTAGGTCTGGATGGGGCCTGAGAGTCTGCATTTCCAAAAAGTTCCTAGGTGATCCCAATGCTGCTGGTCCACAAACTGGCAAAGATCTGCATAGCCAAGACCTAGGCCGTCTACCTTAAGATTCTCGTATCCATCTAAAGCAACAAACAGGAGGAGCCATGACCTGTCAAACCTGAAGGGTTCCACAGACAGGGACAGTAGACATCTGTGCAGTGACCTGGTTAGACTGACAACCGAGAAGCAGATGGACCCCATCTGCAAAGCCTTCTAGACTAAAAGGGGAGCATATCCTGTCAAGGGATACTGGCAGATCACAGATGGCCCATTCAAAAGGGGTCTAGAAACCAGAGGGCAAGAGAAGCCAGCTGATATGGCCCATCAAAGTCAGCCTCCTGGGCACAGAGCAGGGTGAAGGATGGGCACAGACCTGGTGGGGGACACATACAGGAAACTTAGCACAATCCTCAGGAATGAGGTGACGTGTTCGGCCAGCTATCTTAGTCTGTTTGGGTTGCTATAACAAAATACTATGGACTGGGTAGTTTAAACACTAGACATTTATTTCTTACAGTTCTGGAGGCTGGGAAGTCCAAGATCCAGGCATCAACAGACTTGGTGTCTAGTGAGAGCCTGCTTCTTGGTTTATAAATGGCATACTTCTGTGTCCTTACACGACAGAAGGAGTGAGGGAGCTCTCTGGGGCCTCTTTGTTTTTGTTTTTGTTTTTTGCGGTACGCGGGCCTCTCACTGTTGTGGCCTCTCCCGTTGCGGAGCACAGGCTCCGGACGCCCAGGCTCAGCGGCCATGGCTCACGGGCCCAGCCGCTCCGCGGCATGTGGGATCTTCCCGGACCGGGGCACGAACCCGTGTCCCCTGCGTCGGCAGGTGGACTCTCAACCACTGCGCCACCAGGGAAGCCCTGGGGCCTTTTTCTTGCGCTACACCCTGGGCTCCCCAGGCTGGCCACGCCCCCCCCAATGCTGCCCACTGCCTTGCCCCACAGGTTACCTTCCAGCAGATCTGTAAGGATGTGCACCTGGTGAAGCATCAGGGGCAGCAGCTTTTTATTGAGTCCCGGGCCCGGCCTCTGCCCCGGCCCCGTGTCCCTGGTGAGTTGGTGAGGGTGTGGGTGAGGAGTGAGGCCTGGGGCGGGGTGGGTCCCATGACCCTCAGCTCAACCCAGAGGAGCTTTTCTCTCCTCGGCCCAGCTACAGGCACATTCAAGGCCAAGACCCTTCCCTGCCAATCCGCAGACCCAGAGCTGGAGGTGGCACCTGCTCTGATCCAGGCCCCACTAGCCTTGGCTCCTGAGGAGGCTGAGCGGAAAGAAGCCTCCAGTTGCTCCTACCAGCAGATCAACTGCCTGGACAGCATCCTCAGGTAAGGCCATCCTGGCCCCTTCTACCCCTTGGGCCCCGGCCCCGCCTCACCCAGGCGCTGCTCTCATGTCTTCTGGTGCTTCCTCAGGTACCTGGAGAGCTGCAACCTCCCCAGCACGACCAAGCGCAAATGCACCTCCTCCTCGTCCTGCACCGCCTCTTCGGCCTCCGACGAGGACAGGCAGCGGACGGGCGTAGTCTCTGCGGGGGCCCAGAAAGGTGAAGAGCCGGGCCGTCCTGCCTCCACCACCCTGTCCTCTGTTCCTGCGTCTGCATTTCTGTCTTTGGGGCCCCACCTCACTCTGTCCCGTCCCTGCCCAGCCCCCAGATCTCCATGCTCCTCTCTCTCCCCACCCTCACTGGGGTTTCCTCTCCCAGCCTCCCAGTGGGGCAGTAACTGGCACCATCTCTCCGTACAGATCCATCGGCAGTGCTGTCTGGGGAGGGGGCCGCCCCTCTGAAGGAGCCGGTGGTGGGAGGAGGCGCCCTGAGCCCGCTCGCCCTGGCCAATAAGGCGGAGAGCGTGGTGTCCGTCACCAGTCAGTGTAGCTTCAGCTCCACCATCGTCCATGTGGGAGACAAGAAGCCCCCAGAATCGGGTACGGGCGTGGCTGAGGGGGGCGGTGCCCGGGCTCCATCTGCTCCCCCAGCCAGCGTCCCCCCTCTTGCCGGCTGCCTTCTCCCGCCCTCTGGTTCCTGATGGAGAGAAGGAGGCCCCCCCGCCCCCGCCTTAGTTCAGGGC